TTCGAACTATAACGGAAGGGAAGAAAGGCAGACCATAGACATCACCTATGTAGGACAAAACCAGCCCGCGCAGAAAAGGCAGGTCGAGATCATCGAGCGCAGCGCGTTTGCGAAGACCAACTTCAGCTGGATCTCCTGCATTTAGGGGCATTTGCCAGAAGCCTCCTGTGGTTTTTCAGCTTATTCCAAGAGGGCTCAACATCCCCAATCCACAGCAAACCCAACTGCCCAGGCACAAGTGAGCCCCAAGTGGCACCTTCTGAGAAAGACAAGTCCAACGCCACATCTCTGGAAGTTCGGGAACTGCACCCAACGGGCTGCGTATCGGATTCCAACCGATGCGGAAGCCATGACGGTTTGTTTTTTACAACTCTGGGTGCCAGCCTGTTCTTGGTAGAAAGCATATGCTGCGTGTTAAGGGTTCCCGTACCCGGTTTCATTAAAGAAAAACAGCTAACAATACAGGAATACAGATCATACACAGATACTCACTTACATGTCTACCTCTATCTGCCTGCGCACCTATCTGCCTATCTACCTATCATCTATCCACCCACCCATCTACCTCCTGTCAACCTACTCACCAACCCGTCTACCTGTCTGCTAACCGATCAAAACAACCTAGTGCTCTATGCAGGTAGGCTATAGCAACGCCACTGGGCTGAACCTGGCCCCATCATTTTGCCATGATCAAAGTCAGCCCCTAAGTGGCAGGTTCAAGGGAAACAATGCCATGTTCTTTGATAACCCCCAGAATCAGTTAAAATACTGGCGCTAGTGAACTTCGAGTGACAGCGCCAAACGCGCAAAAAGGACTGCCGGTCCCCTGGTCCTCGGGCATCGTTTAAACGATCTTTGGTCAAGGACTGCCTAGGCCGCATGGACCGCGAAGCTTCCAGGCTTCAAGCTTCAATCGTGTGAGCTGTGTTGTTTTTTGGTATGTGGTTGAGTCGTTGAGTTTTGCTAAAAAGCTAACAGCAGCAATAACGGACTCTTGGATTGAGTATGTTTGAGTTGCGTTTGTTTCATCTTCGCTTCAGTTGTGTTTGTTAATCTTGGTCCTAGTTGCCCAGTTGCCCACAAGTGGCATGTTTGCGTTGATCTTTTCCTTTTTCAGTGCTGGGTTTGGCTTCAGACACGGCAAAGGGTGACCACCTATCACGTTGTGACCAGTTGTCATTTTGTGGCTCATTTTGGAGCTTTTCAGCATCCAAAAACCGCCTCCAGGACCAAACGGTCGAACTTTTCAGCTTTTGGCGGTGGGGCTACGACATTTTGCGACCTTGCGTGGGCCCTGGCAGAAATGCCGCGGCCGCACGCCCAAGAAATGGCCCCCTGCACGAACATAAGCAAGTGGGGCAAAAAGAACATCACCGCAAGCAATCGAACAGCAGGGTCGGAGCACAATTTGTTTAAACAACCAGGGACAACCCCAACCTTTCCCACATACCTCAACGCCTTCATGTGCTTCATGTGGTGACTCCAATTGGTTTTTCTACCCACTGATTGCCGCGATACCTGGGCTGTCAAGTTGAGTTAGCACGTTAACTTTGTTGGTGGGTTTCGTTCACCTTACAAGACGAAACATGTGAAGCTTCTGGCTGGCAGCCGACTTGGCAGCAGAGTCACTTGGGGATTCATGGTGCATCTTGGCGGAACAGTGTGGCAACACCTGGAACCCAAATGGGTCTGCTGTATTTTGAGGGTACGCTTGATAATGCTTGTTTAAAGGGCAGCTCTCAAGGAAACCAAAGCCCTTTTTGAGTGTCCCAAAAAACACGACACACCGATATTCCTTGCCGGACCCGTGCTCCACTTTCCTATTTCCATTGCTTCACTGCTGGCTTTAAATACCGTTACAGCTTTTCAGGGTTGGGACGAGCCTTTGTAAACATGTTAGACCCAGGGTTCCTGTTTTACTGCACCCCAAGAGTCCCTAGTTTGAGAAACAAGTCAAACTGGGGCCAGCCAATTTTGCCAACACCCCCCCCGTTTTGCCCCAAGAAACAGCAAACACTACTCTCCTCTTCGAGGGTTCTGTCGGGCATGCCCAATGAACGGGTGCTCATGGCCCCTGTCGCTATGATTGGAATTCCGCCAATGCATGCACAGTATTTGTTTGCTGGAGTTCTTGTCCTCCGGGAAATCGGGTATGTGGTGTAGTGACTTTAGTGTTCCTGTCTTTTTGGCTTTCAAAGGATGGTTCCCTTGGTCGCCTGCTGTCCTAAATGGAACTGGCCGTCTGTACCGACCATACCCCCCTCTCAGCTGCCTAAATAGACCGAACCAAAGATGGGCAAACCAACAAGTCAAAGGTTGGCTTTTGACAACAAAGCTTGATAAGCAGAAGCAAATCTGAAAATCTGCGGTTTGCCTCACGCAACGCGGGGCAAACCACGCGTGTTGTGAACTGACACACTTGGGCAACCTTTCGGCCCATTCGTGGGGTTCTCCACAAAGCAACCCATGTGCCAAATAGGTATGTGCTAACATATGGATTTGGACCCCCCTAAAAGAGCTCCGCCGTTGCTTTTGGCTTCCTTTGTAACCAGCCCTCAGAGGGTGCCGAACCTCGCCAAAACTACACGCCCAAGTGGATATGTCACATCTGTTTTCGATTGTTTTACTGGTGTCTTTGCGAGTACTAGTACCTGCTTTGGTATGTTCCTGGGCACCCGTTCTTTGTCTTGTCCTTTCTTTCTTTGGGGGGGGCGCAAACATTAGCAACTCACTGGTCCCCAGATGCCAAGTAACCATGGGAAAACAGGGCATCCTTTTTTGGTTGGTTGACTTTCAAGGGGAAACCTTCCCAAAAAACGGACAAAAGATGACACAAGGCAATGGGTCAAAACCCCGTACCCCCAGTGAACATCCCAATCTTCACGAAAATAGGTTACCCCAAAATGGGATCCCATTGGTTTTGACCCACCGCCAAAAGTGCCCCGCCGGGCAACTTTTGAGCCCCTCGCCTCAAGCAGGCGGACCACGCATTCCAGGAAGCCTCAGATCCATGCGATCGAGAATTCTAGGGATCGAGGCCCCGTATCTTGCTGGTGCGATAAACAGGGAATGACCCAGGATTTGGGACGAACTGTTTTGGGATTCCGAAAATACGGAAAACCCTGGGATGGATAGCTTTTCTTGAAACCAAACAACCCCTGCCACGTTCTTCTCATGTGTGGTTTGTTTGCGATGCTTTAAGAAGTAAAGGACATGCCAAAATCCATCTGACCCCTAAAAAGGGCGTACTGGACACCACCAACTGGCCAATTTTTAGCTTCAGCCAAGCTTCGGTGCAACTCCGCGAGGGGAATCCTTGAGCTGACAGCTTGAGCAAAAGACGCCGGCAGAAACCCTATGTGGTCATTCTTTTTCGGGGCGCTTTGGTGGTCATGTTTCTTTTCGCTTAGCTTGGGGCCCTTTGGTGGACATCATCTAAGTGGGGATTTAGAGTCCCTTTAAAACCCGGAGTGGTGGACGCCCCTTTGATAGGTATTTAAAGGGGACCCGAATGGAAAACCACAATTTTAAGCGACCAATTCCGATTTTGAGAAACTCCCACAGGCGGAGACGCACAAAACAAAGTCTTAATGTTGACCCAGGATGAATAAACCCGTCCAATTATTAGGGGGTTGTTCCCATGAATCCCCACTCAAAGGGGAAACCCCCTATTAATCAACCAGGGGTTTATTTCTCCGGGGTTAACATTAAGCAAATGGAAACATGGACGGCCTTCCAAATAACGAAGCCAGTTAAAGGTCGGGACCAACCCAGAATCATGGCCCAGACTGGGTCCGAGTGGATTTCCATCAGAAACATGGACCCTCTTCTGGTTGGTTGCTTTCTGAAGCGAAACCTCTGAAGGGAAAAAGGAAGCAACCCCCTGCGGGCCTGGGTTCGGCGAACCGGCTGAGTTCTGAACGAGCGGTTGGTCAGGAAGTCAAATAGGCTTGGGGGGTGTTTGAGTGTACCTGGCATCTTGCCCTTGCTGGTTCTCAGCAAGGGATTGAGGGAATGACCCCTATAAACCGTCCCAATGGTTTCCTTTCAGGCAATCCCTAGGTTCATTCACAAACCCTGGTAAGCACCAGCAAGTCCTATTTAGGGTCCTATAGAAGCCAAATCTGCGGAACCTGGGCAAAGCTCGGCCTGTCAGGTTCTAGGATGACCACCCTAAGTTTCCCACTTGCGAGACTTGACTAATAGGCCCTGTGGGGGCCCAGAAATAAAGGTCACCTCATTTGGGGCCTGGCAAACCAGGTCAATCGCTTGGCATCCGAGTCCTCCATGCCATGGTCGAGGCTCCAAACAGTCTTTTCGGCTTCATCAAACATCTCTCCCCGAAGTCTTTTCTTAGAGGGAAGCTTCACAAAAGAAGTCGCATTGGGGTGTTCTGTTCCAACATAACTCCCGCTAGTTTGGCCTTGAATCTTATTGATTCGGCGGAAGCTAGGGGGAGGGGGGATTGAAGTGAATCACGACCTCCCCGTTCGACTTTGCCAGCTTTGGCCTGCTTTATCTTTATCCCCAGCCTGGCCTGGTTTGGCCTCATCTGTTGCGCCGTATTTGCTCATGTTGAGTAGTTGAGCCTGGCGGGGTATAAATTTTATCAGGCACCCCTTGGTGGACATCATTCAAATGGGGACTTATGATGGATTTCTGTCCATCAACAACTCTTGACGCAGCTTCCCCTTTAAAAATCATAGCCGGCAAAGTGGGGCGCCACGGCCAAGCGGAGCGCTGCTTTTGCTCTTGCCCTCGCACTCGCCAAGCCTTCGGCTGCGGCGGGTGAGACGTGCCTCGAAGCCTCGAGGTCCGGAAGGATTTGAGTTTGCACGGGGCCAAAGAAGGTGTGAGAAAACGCCAACCCATGCTCGAGCTGCTCGAGTGTCTTGGTTTAGGTGAAGTGAAGCTGACCACGTGTGATTTGGCGCCCAGCGTTGGAAATAAAAACTAGCAGCGCCGGACGCCACGGAATGCTCATATGAGCAGCTCCGAATCTGGTCTTTAGGCTACGAGACAGGTGTCTAAATTCCCCTATCCATTTGTCACATGAATCAATGTGAAGATTGGTAAACCCACCCTGAAGATTTGTCAGGCCATCCAAAAGCAAGTGTTCCCCCGAAAGCTTGGGCTCAGATTGGCCGGCTCAGCCAGCGCGCAGATTTTTCACACAAGCTCCCGTGTCTGCGGTGTCTACAATCTTGGCGTGGATTGGCCATGGGCTTGTGGTCTTTTGGTCGGTCTTCGGAAGGAAACCCCTCCAAACAAAAAATGAAAGGACCCCACAGGTCTGGGTTGGTTGACTTGAAACCGAAGCGCCAGTCCGGGTCGCAAGGCTTTCGACTGGGTCTCCCCAACAAGGTTTCTTGTTGTCTTGTGACATGTGCAAAGTGGAGTGATGACCCATTCAATTGCTGGAATCCATCGGTCTGTATTTAGTTCAGCGTGACATAAACCCGAAGAACCTAGTACAGTCGGGGATGTGGTCATAAGGGGCTGCCCACAATCCAGCCGCTTTATTCATGGCGTCGCTCCATTCGCTGGTTTCATTCATGGTTGATCTCCCACCATTCGTACATCTCCTGCGGGCGACGGACAAAGGAAGACAAGGCTGCCAACATTTCCTCTTACATCTCATAGTAAGAACTAAAGGCATGCCAACAACAGTGAACCTCAATCACACCAACAAGGGCCTCACTTCAAATTGGCAACAAGGTGCTGTACGCCCAGGGCTATGGCATCATTGTGCTCGTTTGCTCCGGCAGCACCACAGTTACCTACTGGCTGGCTGCAGCGCCAAGCAGATTATGCTCCTGGCCTGGCAGGCCGCACATGGGCAGCTAGAGTTGGAGCTACAACTAGCCGATAGCCCAAGATGAAAAGCTATTTCAGAGGAGACTCCAGAACAACGTTGAGGTATCTGCTCAGATCATGGAGGGTCCCCTCAAAACAGCTCGGCCTACAGGAAAAAAACTAAAAAAACAAAAACAGCAAACCCCACGCCTCTTCACCAACCCACGGTCTATGAGCATGGCTTCCCTTGCCAAATCACCTGACCCCCGACGCAAAAACAAAAAACGACTTGGGGCCTCCATCCATGGCTTGGGGTCCCCGCTCGCTCCGTTTCTGGCGCTTGGCTCCTGCTCCAAGTGGCGGCTTCCGAGGCTCTTCTCGAACGTCTTGCACACCTTCCCGTTCCTCGAGTTGCTTTTAGAGGAACTGGGTTGAAGTCTACCTTGGGGTAGTCAAAAGTGGAAAACCTGGGTTTCCCAAACGGGGAACCTCTGGGTTATAGCCTACCTTGTATCTAGGGGGTTGGTTCCCCATTCTGTTCAACCATTCTTCTTTTCAAAAACCGGATCCGTTTCCCCTGAATTGTTGTTGGCTTCCTGAAAAGAATCATCCCTGGAAAGAACGGGGCAGGTACCCCTAGAATTCCTTGCTCGCGCGCGGATGTGTTTTTCTTCTGAAGCCCCCCCCCCTTTCGCGCGCGCGTTTTCGCGCGAGAGAACGCGGAGCTGATTTTTATGGGTGCGCTGCGATCACAGAAGTCTCCAAGTGGCTCGGGCCGGAAGGGGATACCTTCCACATGTGTTTTCCACTACAAAACGGGTGGAAATCCTGCAATTCCAAACCCCCAAAAAGGAAGTTGCGAGAGCTAGGGAAGCCAGCAAGGATGGTTCAGTACTCCTTGGCGGAGTTTGTCACTTGAGTGGATGGGCCAAAAATGTCAACTTGGCATTTACGATGTTTACTACGAACAAGATCAAATGATCTTGCCAAAAAGTTTCAACTCCATCAACTTGGGGAGTGAGTTTTTGTTTTTCTCATGACTACCGTATGTCAGGGCAAAACATCTCCGGATTCGATTTGTCCCCATTCCGTGTGTACGGATAACTTCCACACAACTTAAATGGCGACGTTCACCACGGACCTGGCGTGTCGTAAAAGCTTTGGCCTGCGAAGGGTTTCTCAACAAAACTTTGGCAGGTGGCGCTTTGGGGTCCCTGGTATTGGGGACCATTCATGTGTTTGTGTGTGGTTGTGTGTCTCTTTGTGTGTGCGTGCCTGTGCCTTATGTTTGTGCCTATGTTTGTGTCTGTGTTTGTGGCTGTGCCTTTGTCTGTGCCTGTGCCTGTGTCTGTGCCTGCATGTGTGTGTGTCTGCTCGTGTGTCTGTTTGTCATTGTTTGTGTGTGTGTGGTTGCGTGCATGTGTTGTTTCAGGGTATCCCTTTCAGCTTTTCAAAGGAGTCCTCATGACCAGAAAATCAGAGTGCACGCAGTGGGAGGTTTTGAGTCCACGACCGAAATGTTAGCGTGCACGTACGGGGCCTGTTTCGCGTCTGCCGTAACCACCTTTCGAGCTCCTCATTGATGCCCCTTTTTGGGCAGTAAGACCAGTCATTTGCCGTACGGCCGTGCTTTGCAATGGTGGTGATTGCGCTATTTTTGCTTGGCAGCTGTCATGCTTTGGAGGCACTACAAGTCGTCCATGAGTTCGGATTTGGAGACTGCAGCTCCGTTAGTACCTGGCTACATTTGTGTGAAAGGGGGCCGAAGATGCAGCTTGTGCTCTTGCATGCCAACGAACCATGGCTACCAAATCATCCGGGCCACCCCCAGGAAAGGCCCCCAACTCGGCGAAAACGCCCACTTTCCAGCCCAAAATGGGGCGAGCGGCGCGTCCATGATGACTCTGAAAATCCCGGTCATCTCCTTCGCCCAGCTCATGGCATCCTCAAAAATCGAAGCGACAGAGCCCCTCAAAGACCCCCAGGGGCCTGAGGTTTTGCTGCCCTCGTTAAGGCCAAACTGACTTGAGTGAATCCAGACCCAAATCCAGAAGGGGAAGTGTAGATACTGCCGGCAAAAATAAAGCTTAGCGTCCCAGGGTGTTCGACCAAGTTAGGTGATAGAAGCTCCAAGTGAGGCTAGCTTGCTAGCCGCTCACTAGCTGGGCCGCACACAAATGTGAGTCGCAATCAAAACCGATCGGTACTAAAATGGCAACCCCAGAACCATGTACAGGATTAAGAAGGCGGATATCCGCAGCTATTTATGATTGGGATCGTTACTAACCTTCATCTACCCGGGTTTTGATTGTGGCTCATGTAATGACAGAGCTGCCAAGCAAGTGCAATAACATTTGGCCCGACCTGCCCCAACTGTGAAAGCTTTGTGCAAGCTTTGCCGACCTTTGTATCGCCCGAAACCCGCGGGATGGGGTGTCTTTAGGGCCTCCGGGCGCCGAAGAATTCTCTCGCGGTTGGCTTCGAAAGTGGCAAAAATGTGGCTGTTCTGGGCTCTCCACCCAAAACAGCCACCAAAAAGGGGAAACAAAGGGACCCCAGTGGTGAATAGCCACCTTTAAAAAAAAACCATTCGCGTGGGCGAAAGAAAAGCAGGGAGTACAGCGGGGTCTCAAAATCGGTGACCTCCAAAACATGTCCCATTTGGACATCCGCTTTCTGAATTGGTCCGAACATCAACTGGTGCAGGATCTCCACATTTGATGCATACGGGTCCCATGATGCCCACGAGTCCCAAGTCCATTCAGAATCGCCCAGAGGAGGCTGGAATTAGGACCCCGGCAAAAAAATATCTTTTTCGCCTGGTTAGTGGAAAACAAAGGGACCCCAAAAAAGCAAAAACCCAAAAAGGGGAGCAATTCTGGGGAAGAGGAGTCATGGGACATGGTCCCAGGGGCCAAACGGAGATGTTCAAACCTCCTGAAGGTTAGGGGCCTGAGCCTTGAATTTGGCAGATCGGTGGGTGGGGGGAGGGTTCCCCCCAGTGAGTTGAATTCGCCCTTGTGCAACCCCCATGATCCAGAGACAACCACCGGGTTTGTCTATGGGTGCTCTTGGGGGTTGTACCGCAGACAACTTTGGTTACTATTTGTTGTCATCGTTCAACCTAAAACCTAGGAAAAATGTATTTCCGTTGTTCATCATTCTAGTCAAGAGCATGGACGTCTCTGATGGTGCCAAACGTTGACCAAAAACAAGTATCGAACATCCAAGCCATCCAAGCCATCACCTAACTCTTTTTTCGGAGAGCCCCCCCAAAATGGTGTACAGTTTTCCTGTTGGTTTCCTTCTAAAGTCTAAAGCCCACAACCCCCCCCCCAAAAAAGAAACAACACAAAAACGGGGTGGCGCCTCAAACAACACCCACAAGCCACGCACATCGCTCGCGCGTTTCACCCGGGATCGCCTGCCAGCAGCTGAAGGACTCGCCCTCGACGCAGCCGAAGTTTGCGGAGACCACGAAGAACTCCCCGACCAGCTCGTCCTCCGCGCTCCCGCCGCCGCCGCCGCCGCATTCCTCCTCTGACATCACTTCCTTGGCGCAAGTTGAAAAGCCGAGGGATTTGGTTGCCGCGAGCCGCTCTCCTCTGAAAGCACCTCCTTGGCGCAAGTTGAAAAGCCGAGGGGATTTTGTTGCCGCGGAAGATGAGACAAGTAGAAAATGGGCGCACGCAACATCGAACACCCGGTGGAAGATGAAAAACAATCAGAACATGCTAGAGCCAACATGCGAAAGACAGAGGGGCCCAAAATCGCGAGGAATAGATGATCAATTGGTCGAGGACGGGCGAAACCCTGCGAAACAAAGAGCCAAAGGCTTGGAACTGTAGGCGGCATTTTGGAAAAATAGATGGCTCTGGTAAATGGAATAAACCCCATCTAAACCAGGGCCCTCTATTTTTGAAGCAAACCAACCAAAAAGGACACCTACGCTTGGAAGGCTCCCATAGCGGAGCCTAAGAGATTCGAATTCGAAGCCCCTGCCAACCACATGGTGGACACTTGTGCCCACCTCAGCCTGCCCCAAACGACATTGATCCTATTTTAGGTGAACCTTAGAGAGGTTAGAATAAGTTGGTACCCGATTTCTTTTCTGTAGTCTAATTTAGTAGGGGAACCCTGATCAAACAAAAGGGTAAAAGGGCACGACTGGGGGACCTGTTTAAGCGTGATATTCTATGATTCAAGAGCTGATAGGCATGGATGTCAAATGTTAGAACTGACTTGGGCAATTCTCACGCCTGTGTCCCACGCGCCTTGTAAACAACACCCAACAGGCTACCCTCCCAAAACCGACGCTCACCTGCAAGTGGATCTCTGAGGCATCTTTGTCCTCAGCACCTGCCATCTCATCCTCCTTTGCCAGGGGAATAGAAGACTCGCTTTCCGGGTCGCTGGCGGGCAGGGGCAAGCCTCGGCTAATGCCCCCTGGGCCAAAGCATTTCCCACTAACCAGCCAACAACGATCAATAAACAAAACAGGCTAAAGATCCAACTCAACAGCAGCTAAGAAGCTAGCCTCAGCGTCGTCGTCAACTAGGGATTCATGTTCGCTTGGGCCACCTGCGCTGACGTGGGCACTGAAGGTGGCATCGCTTGCGGCGTCCACTTCCTCCTCGGGAGGGCCCAGCTGCTCTGTGTCCATACGGGGCAGCGGTTTTGTCTCCTCTTCTTCGCCTTCATCCTGCGGGTTTTCTGACTTGGGGACCCACGCTGGCAGAGTTCCTCGAGCTGGGGGTTTGCGAAAACCCTGGGTCATGAAGGTTCGTGTCTCAGAGCCTTTCCTTCAGCTTGGCGAGCTTGGGTCACCCAGATAATAGCGATGCTCAAGTTAAGCTTAGTGTTCAGTAGCAAGTCTCTTCTCTCAATGAAGGGAAAGTGTACTATGGGTAAAGTTCCGCATTTCCCCTTGCTTGAAGGGGCTTTGGCAGTATACATCTTCTTCAGCCGAGGCTGCGGGTGGTTGTTGCCGACCACATGTCGAAGAAATGCAGACAAATGGGCAATCCGTGGTTGGAAGCATAAGGGGATGTCCGTGTCACCTGTCTCTGTGGGTGGTCTTTGCATGGGGTGCCCCTCTACTCGTTGGGCAGCACTTCTCTCCAGCGCCCCCCGCCCAGTGGCCATGGGAGTTTCAAGGGCAGCCTTAGACCCGCAAAACGTTGGAATATCTTTGCTGGGGTAAATGAAATCAAGGAAACCCAAAGGCTAACAATAAGGTAAGCCTTTGGTCTGGCAACGCTTTTTGGTAGACCCCCTCATGAAAAGGGAGAAACCCCCTGGAGGTCCGAGCTCCCAACGGAAAGCGTGGCAACCCAGCAAGCGACCATCACCACTTTGACACCTTGACATGATTTTTTCTAGCCGGCCTCACTTCACCTCATCCGGATTTGGCTGACCCCCCTGCAAAAGGTTTATTTTTTTGGGGTTTAGTGGAAAACCCCCTTGATATTCTAAAGATCCAACCCAATAGCAGCCACGAATACGGCGTCTTACCCAAGCGTTTCGGGTGTTTCAGCACCTTTCGAACCCTGGTCTCTTGCGCGTCCAAGCCTCGCCCTCGTCGAAGTCCTCCGCGTGCAGCCGCAGGAAGTACTCCGGGTACACAGCGCCTCGCAAAAAAAGTCGCCCCTTCCGCCGGCTCGAGAGCAAAAATTCGCGGCTTGGTGTCCTTGCCCCCTTCGCAACATGGCATCCACCGTGTCATGTGTCGAAGAAAGGTGACCCACCAAAAGCGGATCCTTTTTGGTTTCTTAAGTTAACACCACCCAGAAGCTCTTGCTTTCTATTAGGTCCTCCAGTAGAGAGGATAGAATAAGGGTACCTTTTTTTGTTTTATCTCTGTAGTCTATTTTAGTAGGGGAACCCTTCCCCAAAAAAGGGGAGGGAAGGGCACTACGGGGGGACCTAGAAAAGCCTACAGGACCACAGGGGTCAACCAAATCTCCAGAATATGGCTGGTGGGTTGTCTTTAGGAATGTGGTGGGCATTTGATGGGACTTGATTGGAAGATATTGGAAGAGGCCTGTGCGGCTTTCAGAAAAATGATGCCCCCTTCACTAGTACAATCGATCGCACTTTGCAGGCCAAAGGGGGAAACAACGCAGCAGCACACGACAAATAAGAGTAGCACACAAGACAGAACAATGGGAAATGAGAGCAAGCAAGGCTAGTCATGAGGCAGCACAATGCCAAAGGACACCAAACAAGTCCGGCAAAAAGAAGGGCCATATAAAGCTACATGAGGCCAACTAAGGCGACACATGCCAAATGTGTTTCCTGAATAGCTGCTTTGGCATGCTTTGGGGGCAGACTTTGGGATCTTGGATCCTGTGTCCGGTTTCGGTTCTCGGGTGTTCTTATCGAGGAACCCGGCTTTCGGCTTCGAAAAGAACTTGAAAGGGGCGGTTCCAGGAATCCTCCGGTCCACATGGGACACCAGGGCGGGAATTGTGAAGGACAATTGGCCAAACCAGGTGTGACAGACAGAAATGACAAGATAATTAGGAATGACAAGCGACACATGTCCGTGACTCTCCTTTTTTTCAAACGATGTGACTGCCAAAGCATCATAGCCTGCCTAGTCCCAGACTTCAGTCTAGGAGAACTAGAATCAACTAGAAAAACCGAACCTATACAGTGTGTCAAGCTCAGCAATCATTGATCAGTAACCAAGCCTCATGCGCGACGCGTCAAGTCTGCTTCCGTGTTTGGCTTCCATGTGTTGCAACAAAGCCCCCATAGTTTTGAAGAATCTGTCACAGCTCCTGCAGTACGGATCATCTTCACTTGAATCATCACTTGAGTCGCCATCGCAAATGGCAGGTTGATACACCTGCGGCATGTTCTGCTTCATGAAATCCCGGACGAGTTTCGGCCCGTCTCCGTAACATCCTGAGCAATGTCCTGACTCCACGTGCATCGTGACGTTGGAGACCGACTTGAAGCTTTTCTTCTGACACACAGGGCATACCTTGTTCCGAGGTTGATGTGTTTGCATGTGCTGCCTGAGGCCGTTTTCAGTCCCAAAAAGGCGGGCGCACTCCGGGCATTCATGCTCAAACCATCCATGGCGATGGCAGGCACCATAATCGCAGCAGCGGCCACACAGGCCATAGTCGCAGTCGTTCGGAGCCTTGTTATTACAGTCCCCGCAAATCATGTTGACGCCTCGCTGTCGGGGCTTGAGTCCTCGACTGGGGAATTTCACAATGTCCAAGGCTCCCTGCTACGTTCCATGTAGCTGCACAACTCATTGTCCTGCTGTGGACGCAATCCTGCACCTAAGGAACCCTGGAATGCTGATACCCCGTGCAAATGCCAACAAACAACGGGCTTCCCATGGTTTCAAAGTGGTGCGAACGGATTTGGTCCATCCACACTATCATGCAAAATAGTTGCACCGCCCTCTAGCCCTCATGATTTGGCCCGAGTTTCAAGTCCTTCCTACCATAGGCAACCTATTGCCATGGATGGTTTTATGGTCATGGCTGGCCTAGAAGAACTTTCCATTGGAATGAGCCCAAGAAGTACGCCCAACAGCCCTATCCGATCCTGAGTGCCAACTGTGGCTTGGAAAGCAAAAACACCCCCGCCCCCTTTGGGCTTCCTTCTGAGAAAATGAGCACGTCTTGGCTATGGAGCGCCCAGTGTTGTAAGCTTGTCCCCGACACCAGATCCGAGCAGCAGGAATCCTTGATGAGCACATGCTTCCGCTTATCCTCCACCTGCCGCGACGAAAAGCGAAGGGGCGGTCGCGCTCTTTTCACCTCAGCTTTTATCCCCATGCCGAACAAGTTGGGTGTGTCTTTTGGAGGGAGCCACTGTTCGTTGTTTTTCTTTTTTAAAGGGAAACCAAAAGGGGTAAAACCACCCATTCTGTGGGTCTCCTAAAAAAGAAACACCCACCAGCACCCCCCAATGGCTGGCCAATTGCCGGCACATCGATTTTGGGCAAAACGATGCCACTTTATGTCTAAGCGACTGCATGCACAAGCTATTTGCTATCAAGTATCACTCATCTGTACTTAGTGCAAGTTGTGCAATGATACAAGTGACCTTTCAGGGTCCTTTGGAATGGGGTTGCAGGGGAAAGGGGAGAGCAGCAAATTTGAGGTTTGGAGGGCAAGTTTGAGGTTGGGAGGGGTTGTTGAGGAGCGTGTCACGGCGTGTCACGGCGTGTCGGGGGGTGGCCAATTGCCGGCACATGTACGTTGAACGGTCACTTTTTTGGGATATGAGCGTGTCACCAATGGCAAACAAACATCTATGTGACTACAAAACCATTTTTAAGCAAGTGCTGGTCAATTGCCGGCACTTCACCCGGACCGCCAATTACCGGCCATCGGGGGGGCCTGGCAGTTGTTCAGTTGTTCGTTCTCTTTGATTCTGGACCAGATCTTGTGAACCTCAACGCGATAAAATAATTTCAATAGACATCCCAGGCTTGGGGAGCGAAGACGCCCCCGGTGAAACAAAAGCTCACGTGGATGAAGCACCTACTGGCTCATCTCGAGCTCACGTGGATTGAACCAGTTGCCAAGTCAGGAGGTACTTCAAGGAGCACCCCCTGTACTCACACGAGTGGAGTCGAATCTTTCTGTCCGATGTCCCCCATATTAATAAACTGGGGCTGACTACTGGATCAACATGAACATGGTCAGGAATGGCCAGCCAGAAATGAATAGTACGTACACCTTTTGGGGCCATGCGAGCACTTGGGTACACGTTACGCGTGAAGGCCCCACTGAAAACTCAAGGGCCCGGAAAGAACGTCAATCGGGTTAACCCATTGGCAAAACTTAAACCAACACTGCAAAATGTGCTGATCAAAAGGTCGCAACCTTTGAAAAGGTCGATCTTGGGCACCCCTGCGCCCCTTCCACCCTAAGGAAACACACTTCGAAAGGGCCAAGGTGATGCCAACATCTGGGCAAGCAACTCTATCTCACACACCTCCAAACAGAATGCCCCAGGAAAGAAAGTGCCCAGGCCTACCACAGCGGTTGTCCCCCAACGGTATAATATACACATACAGTACACATACATGTGTATATGGAGTCCAGGCCATAGCGCTACTAGCAAAGATTACGAATCTAAACATAACGTACTTCCAGTTACTAGTATGGCAGGTAGCTAGGGCCATCAAACGTAGACATCATACACTGGGAGGTGTTGCCTGAGTAAGTGGCCAATATCCCCCGAAGTCGGATTTCCCCATAAAGCCCACTTTGAGGAAGGAAATGTGATCAAGGGAAAATACACACATCAACACAAATTGGGCCTGGGAACAGGGAACCCTTGCGAGAGCTCTCGTGGCTTGCAAACTTTGTCGCGCCTTCAGGATGATGCAGTCCTTGTCGTCTGCGTCGTCCAGGTCATCCCCGGGCACTCCACAAATGACCCGGCAGAGGATGGCGAACTTTTGCCCGTCCTTCGTTTTGATGCCAGTCACAAATCACTAGAGGGCCCCCCGAAAGATCTGAGAATCTTCCTTGGTGTACTCAAGGTCAGACTCTCAGAACCTTTGTGCAGTGTTAAGGGTGCCCTAATGTCTCTCCTCACTCATTCCAACAAGAGCTTGTCAAAAGAATACCTCCACCTGAAATAAGAATTGTAGCCCCACGTCAAGGACCTTCATCTTGGGGTCGCTCCTTTCTCCCCCAGATCCGACTTCCCACAGGCAAAGAAGGATGAGGGTGGGGGGGGTGCGTCCCATGCCGCCGGCCCCGATCGCCCCTTCGACGGTCCCGCGAGCCTTGGACTTCACCTCCTTGAGCGCGTCCGGCAGGCTCTCGTAGAAGCAGCTGCCCGGCAGACTTTCGTGCGGCTTCACCGTGCCGCTGCTCAACTCCTCGGGAGGGGGGGAGAGAGAGAGAAAAAGAGAGAGAGGGAGCGAGGGAGCGACAGAGAGAGGGGGGGAGGGGGAGGGTCGACCCGAAAACCACCTGAGATACCCTGGTGTGTCCAAATGTGACCTCGTTTCAGCCAAGCAGGCTGTTTCGCTCCTGTACTGGAGTCAGGAGGGAATGCCGGCATTCTGATGAAAAGGAGTGCCATTGTGCAGTGGGAATGAAGCGAGTTGCCAATGAACAACTTGTCAATCATGACGTGCAAGCGTAGCTTGTCATCATGAATGCCTCTGAGCCACACCCAAAACCAGCACCCTCCTTGATGCAGTTGTCGCTTGTTCTTCACCCACGGGCCAAAGAAGCACACACACACCGCGCCCCTATTGCTTACATCGCGGTCAAGGATGCTAATCAGATGGATCCTGGTTCAAAAATATCTGGCAAACACCAACCCAAGACGCTTGGGCATGTCACAGTGATCGAACAAAAAAGAAGCAGCCACTTGGGATACGTAGTCAGCGCTCTTTCGGGTCAAAGGCCAAAGGGCTGCAGTGGGTCTTTGTGGGCCGACGGGCAGCGCGGAAGTCCAGGGGCCAGGGGTTGGACGAGGTCGGCTGAGCGGATTCCGGTTTGCAACTGGGGGTTGGACTCTAACTTTGTCAGACGTGCGAGTTGGCGCGGGGGGTGCGGGGGGTGCGGGGGGTGTGGGGTGTGTGTGGGGTGTGTGGGGTGTGTGTGGGGTGTGTGGGGTGTGTGGGGTGACCCAGGCTTACTTGGCTGAGTCAAGACTAAGCCAAAAGGTACTGGTTTTGGTCATCCGACGTGCCGAGCGAAAGCTGGGAAGATTTAGCAGTATGACATCTTCAGAATTACCCGCAAAATATTGTAGCTTTTCTGGGCACCGTCCCAAAGGTGATTTGGACCCCTCAAACCAGGATCACTTGAAGGGACCCCATGTGCTGTTTCTCCACTTTTCCAAGATCCAAAAGGTTAAAAGGTGCCGGCAAGCGAAAGGTCTGTTCGCTGAACAAGCCACGCGTTTGTAGAGGGTGCAAAGTAGGAGACCGTCGCACAAAACAGATGGAACTCTGGAGCCAGCTGCACAAAACACGGGTTCCCGGCTTGGATGTTCAACCAACTCAGCAAGTAGCTTGTCAGTATGGTTATTAACAAACTAGCCCGAGCTACCCCAGTTGCAACCATTGTTCTAGCCTGCTTTCTAAGTCAGTTGAACACCCAAGAAAGACTCGGCTTTCCCGAGTGGGTTGGCCAGACAGAGCCTAGAAAGCTCGATGAACTATCTGGGCTTCAGCCCTGATCCGAGATGCTTCTGCCCGGGTTTCGCTGGCACCTCAGGCGAAGCGAACTAAACAAAAACTCCTTCCTAGCCCCCTCAAGAGGACCACACCTGCAGTGGGGTACGAAGAAAGTCAGATTGAACCCGGCCAGATTTGCGATGGGTTGGCCCGGAAAACCGAGGGCGCCACAGGCTCACTTCCGTGGAGTGGAGCTGCCGCTGTCGAACCACAGGTGGAACTCACTCATCACGGTCAATCGGAAGTGAGACACTCGGATCTTCCACGAATGCAGTCCGAGTTGTTTGCTGGCCACTAACGCTCTCCAGGTAAACAAAGTGGGCAACTCGGGCAGTGAGCCGCGTGAGCAGATGTGAGCAGCACAAATCTTGCAGGACCCTCACGGGCAGTTATGTTTGATGAGAACACCCTGCCAAATGGTTGGTGGAAACAAATCCCGACTCAAATGATGCCCCCCTGAAGCAACAAGCAAGAAGGCCTCCCACTAATCTAACCCCCTAGTGGCCATGGGAAGAAGGGCTCGTTGTTTGAAACTTGAGTTTGCACGAACCCCCCTCGAAAAGAGAAAGCAAGCCACCGGAGGCCAAGGCTTGCCCATAGAACATAGAAATCAAAGGTTCGCCTTTTCCGGCCACGGAATATGGGGATTCATTTTAGAAAGGAACAAGGTCGGACCGCCCCGGCCCGGCCACATTTGTTTATTTGTAGGCACCGTAAGCTTGTGGGACCTAGACGCGAAATGAACCAAGATGGGAAAACGCAAGGTCAGAAGGTGAGTTTCTTTGCCAAGTGGGTGGCCGTTTTTCAGGGGAACCCCCTCCCCCCAAAGAAAAAACAACTCACAAAAAGAAAGTGGTTCCTCCCCCCCCCCAAAAAAAAAGGAATGTGTCCCCCCCCCTTCCTGCCCCAAAAAAAAGAAAGACGGGTGCCCGCACCCTCCAACAAAAGCACATCCCTCAGGCCGTTTCCAAGGTCTCGGCAGGCCAGCCAAAGGAAGCCCTCGTGAAGGCGCCGGTCCATCTCATCCACCTCGAACCCGCGTCCCCCGGAGACTTCGGTTCTGCACACGGGGCGTTTTCTGGAGGCCGGGTGCCGGGGTTTCTGAGGGGCACCAAGGCGAAAACCACCAAGTTTCTGGGCTGTCCTCAGATCCCCTGCTAAAAGTGTAACTTTTAGTGGGTTAAATGGACAACCCCGCTAAACCCTAAAAGTCTAAAAGCCTCAGGGCACAAATGGGAACCGCCAAGGTTTCAGGGAAAAGCCGGGGGAGGGGCAAGGGAAATCCAAGGGTTGAAGGTTTCAACTACTTGAACATCCACCGGCAAGGACCCCATTCGGAAGGGTTTCCAAGAGAACCCTTTGCATCAGGTTGTGCTTTCTGGACCCACTAGGAGAAACATGGTCACATGTCGGGTTTCCACACTCGGAAGAGGTTGAAATTGTGGCTGTTTGAGTTGCATGTTCATGACCTGGTATAGGGCTTTCGGAGGTTTTAGTAGGGGAACACTGACTTTTTTGCGGGCAACACCGCACCACCAAAATCAACCCGGGTCTTTGAATGCAGTAGTCGAAGCAAAGACTTGAATTGGGGGGGGTGGAACCTCAATTCCACCTTCTTGGTGTGCGACGTCCCATGGAATTCCAGTGGTTGCCCCCAAATAATTTGGCCTTTGGGACCCTACAGCGGCCCTCCGCACGGTTTAGAATTGCAGTGCTCGGGCTGGAGCCGCCGCAGGGGACCAGTAGGCCCTCCTCAATTCTCAGATGCGTGGTAAACGGGGCATCTGCAAAAATCAAGGAAATCTTGATTTCCCTTTTGGCAGCGCTCATCACAAATTGACGACCCACAATAGAATGATAGAATGCAATTGGGGGTCAAAAGGGGCGCTGCGCATGCGCTAAGCGCCCTGGCTCTCGGTAGGGGAACCAGAGCTCGGACTGAGCAATTCCTAGGGATCCTTGGGATTCCCGCAACCCCGTGGGCTCTCTGTAAGCCAGCTTGATCAAAAGCTCCTTTGCATAGAATTAGGGGGAAGATGGGGGAAGCCACCCAAAAAGAAGCGTTCAACCACTCAATGGGCAAGTGGTGTCATTTGGAGCCCGGGGCCCAGGAATATTGATCCACCCCCACTCACTTCCTGAGTAAATGGCGCCAGAAAGATGTCCCAAATTTTTGTATGCCACCAAAATGGTCCAACCCCAAAAAGTGTCCATCTTGTATGCCACTAAACTGGCCCAACCCCAAAAAGCGTCCAAAAGTGCGCGAGCCCAACACGGACAGACCCCACTCTCGAAATGCTCTCAGGCCCCCCACGGGCAGACGCCGGCCCGCTGCCAGGGCCAAGTCCGTGAGGTCCGCGGCGAACTCGTTGTGCGAGAACCTGCGGGCTCCGGCGCAGCGGGATGGGTCCCATGCAGCGAACCGCAAGTCTTCGTTTCTCGAGGGATGGGAAGCCTATGACAACCTCCAACCAGCCAGTGTTCTTATAGAGTAATATGATCCACCCCGGAACCACACCTCCAGCAGTATTTCACCGTTATGAAAGTCAGCCCCCAAGTGGTAGGTAGGGAAACCACCAGCCAGTTTCTGACTTTGACCCCCAGAAATTGTCGAACAATGACCCAGAAAAACAACCTCCAACAAACGGCCTGCATGGCCCGTTTTTCCGAGGGATATGAAATCCACCCCTCCAAAGAACCTCCAAACAATGGCTCTCCCCAAAAAAGTATATACCCCTTATATATATATATATACATATCCCTCATTTCTAAGGCTTCTTCCGCCAGAGGCTTCCTTTTGGACCATCCCTTGATTGCTTCGAAGGAGCCTTTGCGAGGGTTCATGTTTGAGGTTCTTTCTGAGACAAGCCCAGCCGTCGGCGGCCGTCGGGCCATTAGAAGCCAAACAGTATGTAGATCGAACCAGCCTGCACTTGTCGCCAAATCTGCAGCCCTTCTTGAAGAACTTGCAGGGCCGCTTCATCAGCGCCCGGAGGTCGCGCCTCAAAGCCCCCTCTTTTTGTTCGTGTCCCCATGAAAGCCGGGTTCTAACACAAGATGTGTGTCGGTTCCCGTACTTGTGACAACCCCATGTTGGCACCGTCATCTACTTGAAGAAAAACATGAGCCAGAACGTGCTTTATCCTGAGATGGTTTCCACTAAGATGGATTCTGCCCCATGGCACCCGGCCCCGGCCCGTACCCCGACAGGTGGGGCCCGGTGGCTTAGACGTTGGGTTTGGTACCCAAATTTGGCTGTTGAACCCCTGGGTGTGGAAGGGTAGCCGCACCAACCACACCGAGCCAGCGGGCAAAAGGAACAATGACATCCAGTTTTTGGGTTCCTCGACTCTAATGCCCTTAGCGACTCCTTGGTGGCTGTTGCCCCTGCCCAAAAAGTTTCATTTGTTGGTTTGGAATGAAACAAGCACCGATACTAACAAACATATGTACCGCCGACAAATACAATGGAATGAAAAATAGAAGGGTCCGCGGAGATTACGTTAAATGCAATATGGCATTGGGATTCCCAAATCAATCTGCAGCCAACTGTTTCAGAAAAAAAAATGCGTAATTCACTAAGGTTGGTTTAGACTTCCCTGTGCTTGCCCACATGAGAGGCCACTGTGCCATCTACTTTCACCCGGCCGTAGCTACTTTCTTGCCTACACGGCCCCCGATAGCAATACGGAGGCTACTGGTGCTTGACCCACACATGGTGCAGCTCAACCTTGCAAACAGGGAGCTTGGTTTGTCCTGTTTTGATGGTACCGTTTCTTGGTGGTTTCAGAAAGGGAAACCACAATGAAACCACACAATTTTGGGCGGCCCCCAACAAAACCAAGTCCATCTGTAAGTTCGCACTGTGGGACAAAAACTCAGCCCGCCGGAGCTCCAACGACAACCTGTGGCCGCCTGGGAAACTTCGGCAGTCACTCAGTTCCAGTTCTCTAGCTCTCCCGAAGAGAAACCAAAGTTCTGGGCCAACATCTCACTTCCTGAGTGGATTGGCCCAAAAGAAAAGAGAGTCTGAACTCTTGGTTTACCACTAACATTAATTGTCATCCCACAAAGTGTAAAGTTCATATGAACTCAAGACATGTGTGCTCTTTGCCAGGCGTCTCCACCGCATTCACCTTCAACTTGTTATCGGTATCGTTGCTCACGGCCGGCAAGCCCTCGTCGCCGCCCAAACGTTCGCGCAGCTCCTTTCTAAACTCAACCTCGGTCCGATCGCTACACATATCAGCATGGTCAAACCTCCGCTCCATCGTTCCCTTAACTCACTTTTGGAAGAGGACTGGACAAAAAAGAACCGACTGCTTGTTTGCCATTTGTTCGTCCATACCCAAACATCGACTCAAGGAACTCCATGTTTTCGGAGAAAACAACAAAAATAACACACAACATCGACTCAAAGAACTTTGTGTTTTTCGACAAGGTTGAAGGGTGTGACACTTCTAATGGCTCTGACCTCACCGAGCCGTCGGGGTCTTCCATTCCATCTTCCCACCAAACCGTAACAACTCTTGCGCAAACTTTACCGGACCCCACCAAGTCCCAAAAAATCTGAGCCGCCCCACTCCCTAAAAGATGCAATGAATGATGAGTTGGTCCCCTTCATGATGCCATGGTTGGATTTGGAGAGTGCACGTTTCAAGATGCAGTCGAGGCTTCTTGCACCAATTGGCCCCATCGATGGGGCCCCATCCCCTGAAAAGCAACGGTGGAAACAAAAGTGTTAACTTGTTGGACCCTAAAGTAGCGCGCAGCGAAACCTGGCAAAGGCACTCAACTTTGATCCCCTTGCTTGACTCGAACACTACAAGGCCAAGGGAGGAAATAAAAAGTTGGACCCAGCTGCTCTTTAGGGGGGCCACCCCAGTGGAGATGTTACCCATGTATGCACCAGCCTCCAATTTCCTCCTAAACATTTCAGTGACCAGGTCTTACTTGCTTCCCTGCAACCTTCGGGACCATGTAAAGGCAGCCCATGCAATCTGAACCCAGACCTCCAGTGCTCACGGAGAGGAATTGGCACTCCCTTTTTCCTTTTGGTGGATTTCAAGGGACACCCATCGCCCCAAATTTGGAAAGGGCACCGCTGGATACGCTTTCCGTTTTCCATTTTTGTCAGCCTGCAAGGGCTGGGTGCTGAAACAACATGCGCATGCTTACGTGAGCTTGCGCGATGGGTAGCTTTTGCAATCGCCCACGCTGACGCAACATATGGCAGTCTTACGCTGCCACAAGTTTTCGTCAGCTAACTGTCCAACCCGGGCAAAGTGATCCCCAAAACAGTGGAGGCATGAACGAGCAAGAATTGGGACATCGTAAAATCAGCCCCGGCCTTTAGGTGTTTATTAACCATATTTATCCCATGTTCTCGAGGCAAGTCGGCCCAGGCAACCCCCCCATTCCCCAAAAAAGAAGGGACAAAGGAATTTGCAACTTTCCCAAAACCAAAAACACAATTCCCCACGTCTCTTTAAGGGGACCTCCCAACAACCACAAAGGAGGCCCCCCCCACAAAAAAACACAACGAGCCAGCGATGTCTACCATGTCCCTAACCAAAGAACTGGCCTCTGAACTGCTCCCTTGGCAAACTGAGATACGCCAACCGCAGATGGACGAAATCCTACACCACCTATCAGAAACCCTATGATTCGATTCGCCAACAACCGTGCGAGACGCGTGAATTACGTGGATTTCGTCCCTGCGCTCCCTTTCTGCCGTGTGGCAAAGCGCTCCCAGAGGTTGGCGTCCTCCAACCGGGCGCACCAGACCACTTCGCGGCCCGGGTCCCGGCCGCAGGCTTGGTTCACCAACTCGGAGGAATCCCAATCCGATCGCCGAGTGCTGCGGGAACTCGAACTTTCGGTTTTGGTTTGTTGGGGGAGGGGGGGTTGGCAAGGTAATGTTTTCAGGGAAAGGGTTTTGGAGGTAAGGTTACATACCACTGGTTACCACTGGGCTGTCCAGGCTTTGCCTTTCGAACTTTGATTTTCTGGGGCCGGAACTTGTGGGATTCGGATTTTGAGCAGGGGAGTGGCAGGCCGCGCCGTTTTAAACAAGCGGGCCAAATGGAGTCAAGAAAATAGCAGAGATTGACATGGAGTTGGCCCCATGTCACGCGTCCCAACCAACTCCCTGAAAGCCGCGGCTTGCATGGCAGCGTTTTTGTCAACAGTCAGCAGGGGGGAAATGTACCAAACCAACTGTCTGGGGAGTGTCAATACCCAAAAAGGTATATATTTCCAATGTGTTGATATCCAAAAATACAAACTTTGGACATGAAGGACGAAACCGCTGCATCGGTCCGCGCGCTCAGAATCGCGAATCAGTCTTGTCCGGCCAAAAGACAAATGGGTTAACACATCATGAATGCCGCCTCGCTGTTTGGAGCCCAGTGTTTTGGAGGTGCTTCTCGGGTGGTGTCACCGTGGTGTCCCGTTTCCTCCCTACGAGACTCACCGATCCAAACCACCAACCAAAATTGTCATGTACATAAATCCTGTCCATCAACAGGTTGCGAAATCGCTGGTGCGTCCCATAGACATTGGAAGGAACAAGTTGAACATTGGCACTTCATGAAAGGAAACTAATCAACGTTCTACGAAAGTTGCTCTTCGAAGGGCCTGAAAGTTCTAAGTGATTGACCCACAATTCACATTGCGACGATCACCCCGAGGCAAGCCGGTGTAATCTCAACACCCGACACGAGGCAGAGATTCAACGGCTTCAACTGATGTTCACCTTGGGGTACCCTTCAAGACCATACCAAATTCGCTGGAAATTCCTAACTCCGGCACCCAAATTGGGACCATGGTGTCGGGCGGCCCAGAATTATACCTCTTGCTGGGGCGCCTAAAGCGGTTGAAAGCTTAGGCAAGTTGGCGAGCTCAAGGACATGCCTGGCATGAAAACCGCGATATGTTCCGCACCTTTTTTCACCTGCCCCAATGCTCCGAAGGACACGGAAACACACAGCTAATCCTTTGATGTTGGCTAAAATCATGCCAGCTTAGACACCCAGAGGGCCAGAGCTGCACTTGAGTGTTAGAAGAGATGGTCATTGACAACCATGTAATGCCAATGTGAGTAGAAGCGCACGAAGTCTGAATCCAGGCCAGCAATTGGATCAACAAGGGAATCACAAATGGTTGACTTGCTGATGTGGTTTCTTCGGCTCGCGTGCAAACCTGCCAAAACTGCGGAACTGATCGGAACCGAGGCAAGTGCGCACTGCATGTGGAGACGGCCGGCTTCTGGCGCGGGCAAACAACTGCTTGGCTAGACTGGGTGTTGAATACAGGGGTCTGGAATATGGAATGCACAGACCCTTCTTCGGTTTCTTCCATAGGAAGTCATACATGTTTGACCCCGTTTTGTACTTATTAGAAGGCAAAAAAACCCTCAAAGCTATCTACGGGTTCTCTTCACCCACGACTCTCTTCAAAACGCGTCCATTCAAGGGGTCGACATTAAAATGTAACCTTCAACAAAACGCGCAGCTAGGTCCAGGGACGTGGTTTCCCAAGAAGACACGGCCAAATTGGCTTGACCCCCCCAATTGTGTGGGAAACCCGGGTGGTAGACTAAACATGTTTTTGCCAGTATAGTTGCTCTCTAGAAACAATTCTGGCTTGAACTGCGCTGTGCCTCAGTGCTGCTCTTGGCTTGCAACAAATAATCGAAACGAACACTAGCCACCTGGACCCTCCAACTGACATTAAACAACACAGAAAGGGACGCTATAGGGGACCCTATTTTACAGTGTTTTTGAAGATTTCATACATGCGATGCAACCCTCCGGGATTTGTGCTTGTTCTCGAATTGAAAGGTCCATGCTAGCTCCATGTATTCTTGTTTGTCTTTCTTAGGAAAACAACAAGTTAAAGTACCTTGGGAGTTGCAAAGCCAGAGTTTGAATGGGGAGGAACAATAAATACACCATGTTTTGTTTGTTTTTCCGCTCCCCCCCCCGCTCCCCAAATTCGGCCCACGATCACTGAATTTGCAAAGTTCGAAATTGTCCTGTTTGCTTACACAGTGCTTGAAGTTGCACGTGATTAACCTGCCTAGGTTTGAATTGACATAATGTTATTAAAACGGGTCACTTTGCTTAGAAACTGAATTGCGCATTTTAATGGCTAATGCTCTTGGCTGGTGCTTGCTGCTTGGCAGTTTGCATGGATAGCATAGTAGTGAAAAGCCTCTTGCGGAAATCATGATGCAGGATTGGAAGTGGTGGCTAAAAGCAGTGATTTTTAAAAGAATACCTCGGCTGGCAACAACATTGGTTGCTGCCTTGCTTGACCTTTCATTTTAATGAAGGAGCACATGTGGCAACAAGGGCTTGGTTGCACCGTACCTTTAGTTCTAAACACAACTTGATCCATGCATGTTGGGTGTGGCCCATGCGCGTGTAGTATTCTCACGTGGTGCCTTGTGCATCACACTCTCTATGGTAACATCATAGGGTAGAAGGGGATATGTGCAGCAATGCCATCAGGCAAACAAAGGCTTTTGCGGTTGGCCAGAAGATATCTACTTATCAGCAAGTGTTTTGATGACCTATAGAGGGCGCACGTAGAGAAAGTTACTCTCTTACCACCTACCAGACCAGCTCTTGAATGCCAACAGTTACCAAAGGCTAGAGAACCTATCCCTGACGATGTAGAAATTGTTGTTTCCCATTTGCAGGTGCTCTGCATTTCCTGATCTGCTGGAAATATGACTAGCGATCTGCAACTGGTTCAGCATATCAAGTAGCAAAACACCTTCATTTCCAGCCCCCACATGAGATACCGGCCTATTTGCAAGATTCAAGACTGTCCTGTTTGGGTACATTCAAGGTTGTGTTTGATTTACCCTTAGTGTTGAATTATACCATGGGCCACTTTCTCTATAGACTGAACTGTGCATTTAGAAGCATGTTCTTGGCTGGTATTGGTGACGAAGCGTAAAGGCAGTGATAGCTAAAACATACCTCTACTAAAACAACACTGCTTGCTGCCTTGCTTAGCCTGCAATTTGAATGATTAAGCACAACTTGTTCTATTGCTTGTTGGTGTGGTCGTCCCATGCGCGTGTAGTATTCTCACGTGGTGCCTTGTGCATCCTACTCTCTACGGCAATTTCATAGGGTAGAAGGGGATATGTGCAGCAGTGTCATCAGGCAAACAAAGGCTTTTTGCGGTTGGCCAGAAGATATCTACTTATCAGCAAGTGTTTTGATGACCTATAGAGGGCGCACGTAGAGAAAGTTACTCTCTTACCCCCTGCCATGCCAGCTTTTTGCACGCCACCGTTACCATAGGAGCTAGAGAACCGATCCCTGATGATGTGGAAACTAATGTTTCCCACTTGCAGGAGCTCCGGCATGTTCCTCTCCGAGCTCTGGTAGCAGCTTGATAGCATATGGTAGAATATGTTTTTCCCAGATCAATGAAGCAGCAGGGAGTGCATTCTAATGGTTTCCAAAGGATTCATGGTTTGCAGAAGTGTCACAGCATGGGTTGAATCTTATTAAGTCACCGAAGACTCTCGATTGTTATCTTGTTGTTCGAGGTGAAGCCTTGACAGTTCTAAATTAAAGTGTGCAACACCATACATCTACATCGCTCGTTGTAGCGGCTTGGGAACAAACAACTAAACAACAGCTGGAAACGCTTTACAACAAGGGCCCACAGGGCTTCCCACTCTCTCTAAAAAAGGGGATTCACCCCATAGATTGGGGCAGCAAACATTATTTTGGGGAAGTTTCAGGGTCCAGCTACATAGTTTGCATTTGGGGATGGTTATGCCCTACACGTATGCCACTCCCATTGGCCATTGGCTATTGGGGACTGGGACGATTTGTGTTTCTCGCACCCAGCCACACAAACAGCAACACACAGGGCGAGCTTTGCGTAGAAAAACATCCACACCATCCATACCACCCATACTACCCACAGCACCCACGACATCCACGGCACTCACAGCATCCAAAGCACCCACAACTCCTACAGCACCCGCAACACAGCACCTTCCCCCACCCCCCAAAACACACACACAAGAACAACAGAGTCGCAGGAAAAAAACAAGCAACCAAGCAACCAGCAAGTGAACACAGAACTCAAAGCTTCCACACCAGGAAGCTCGGGTCGATTTCGCTCTCAAAAAATTGCTCCCCTCCCCATCCCGGCCGGGGAGGCCGGCCTGAAACTTTCCGATAGAACATTAACAGCCTGAATGCTGTGAATGATCCAAGTAATTGTGGCGCTTCTATTTCAAGGCTGCAATTTTTGTTTGGGATCCCCAAGCAAAGGACCATGACCATGAGCTCGCTTTTCCCGAGCTTGCCTGAAAGCTCAGGTTGGTCTCGGAACTTCGTCTTCGTGAGGTCCGTGGCCACGTTCCTAGGTCCGCGCTCGAAAAAAACGGGGGCAGCTGGGCCCGTTTAACGGGACATCCTCAAGGTTGCCTTTTATGGGTGTGTCTTTTTAAGGCTAAGGGAAAAAACGGTTCTTTCTTTTTATTTTTCCTATACGAGCTGTCGGAATGCAAGGGTTTTAGGGCGCCGTGATGAAATCGACAACGACCGTCAGCCAGCACAAACCTGGTGATTTTAAGAGGGATCCCTCTAGAATGGATGTAGCGGGATCTTACCCCAAAATGGGTCTGGGTGGTTTTCAAGCAACCCCCCCAAAACCAAAAGTGTTTTCAAGCGGGATCCCCCCAAATGGATTGCTGTTTTTCGCGTGGGTTAGAAATCCCGTTTTTGTTGGCTGGTTTCCTTTTGGCGTTCCTAGCACAGCCAACACGGGGGTCTCCAAGGCACACCTCAATCAACCCGAGGGCCCGAGGCTCCGCCAGTGCAACGGCACTTGCATGAAGAACTTCCGCTTCAGCACGCGGGCCATCTCTTCCTCCACATCCTGAGCAAAAGCTGCCCAAGCTCTTCACCTCATACTGATTTAGAAAGCAAGGGGAGCCATTGCAGCCTTGGAGTCTTATAGTTCCTATTAGAGGCATTCAAGGACTATATCACTTCCCATCGAGTGCATGAGCCAAAAAATGATTAAACTGTTGGTCCAAAACCCTAACATGGTCCAAAACCTCAACACGTGGTTCTTTTGCCCAGACCGTGGTCATGGGAAATCCAGGGCGCTCCCTTGTTTTGGCCGTGGAATTTGAAGCGGAGCTCTGCCAAGCAGAAGGGAAAACCAAAAACGCACCGCTGGGGGTCTGGGATTTAGTATCTTGTTGACATCCAAGAGCTAAGAACTCCAAATCTTTGCGAGAGAGAAGTGTCAGAGCTGCTCCGGCTGTTCGACATTGGTGTAGTCAGATATTATCTCATGAGGGATATGACACACCTAGTATGGTGTTCAAAGGGATCGTGATCCCATTGGAAGGTGCCATAAAGTCAATAAAAGTAACCCTCCCGATTAACATGGGGCCTGACGTGCGGAGGGGTCACAGCCCCGACTCCTTTGCCACCATAGAGTGGGCTTCCACAATCACTGGTGCCTAGGGGGAACTCGTATTCCAAACTCCAGTGGCCGGGGGGCGGGAAAGACCACCTTTTCCTCAGTCGCCAACGAAATGCTTCGATTCCCCAAGATAAATACCAACAATATGGCACCGTGGTGCGCTGCTCGCGGATTTAGAAGCCATCTACAGTAGGATCCGGGGTCGGCTGGTCGATGCGGTGAGTAATATACATCTGCCAAATCTACGTTTGGATGGTTGTTGGTGTGGGTGGCAAATGTAGTTTAGTGCAATGGAATGGGAGTGTGCAATAACGGCCTCTTTTCACGGGCTCTCTGACTTCGAACCCCCATTTGGAATTGTGCAAAAAAAACTAGGAATCAGAATCCCAAAGCTCCAAGGGAACCCTCAAGAAATACCCACGCTCATGTGTTCCCGTCTGGTTTTCCAAGCGGCAGCCTTGAACACGCGCTGATACAGCACCAAATACTCTGGGTAGCATTGGTCGGCGTAGTAGATCACCAGCTCTTTAAACAGGCCTCAGGCTTCTTAGCAACGCAGCCACGGACCCCTCAGGACCAGTGGACCCCTCCTAGCAGTGCCACCTGTGGATGGACAAAATCCGCGTCGATCGGCACCAGTTGGGAAGGACGAAGCCTCATGAAGAGTGGGATGAACCACCGATCTTGCCATCAGTAAGAAGCTTTAACAGTTGCCAGGGCCAAATATGGGTGTGGCTGTCTTTTTCCGGGATCCTCCAACATGCTTGGTTTCCTTGTGGTGTTCACTGAAAAACCCAACCAAAAGGATTCCCCCCAAAGAAAGAAATACCCATGTACAGCCACTATGGTGATTTGACAGGTAAGGGAGGGGAGGGAGGGGGTGTCTAGGAGTGTGCCGTGTTTCTGGCCTTCCCGAGCCAAATCCTGCAAAAGGTGGGTTTTTGCTTGCTACAGGCTCTCACCAAAAAACACACGCACACACACACACCAAAAACGCGGCCCTCAAAAAAGAGCACATCCAAACGGTGGTACTGTGTCAAAAGGGGTCGCCATGAATTCCTTTCCCGCCTCTACTGCTTTTACCTTTATTGTGTCAGGCAAAAGAGGCTTCGAAGTCCAGCTGTCACTTGACAGCCTCCCTTGGTTACCTAGTATAGTGGCTTGCCCATTGGGAAATTCTAAGGACACCAGACACGTTGACTGGCAACACAACTTTTGGCCAGTACCAAGGTGGCAACAGTTGAGGTAATGTTGGAGCCGCGGGGGCTCTTCCGGGTGCCAAACCACAAGCCGCTTTTTAAACTTTTTGCAGCTTCCGAATATGCGTTTCCAGACCCAGGCAAAAAGAGGGTTTGCCACCTGCACCGGCTGCGGGTTCCCTGCCCTGCCAGAAGCGCATCAAACCTGGCCAAAGGACCTGGAAACAAACGGCTACTTGAATGTTCGGCCAATCTAGTAAGTGGTCAGTGGGTAGCCACTTGGAGTAAAGCCCTCAAATAACAAGGCTCACGCAAAGGTCATAGGATGCCAAACCCCCC